GCAGCAAGCTAACCTACTTGTCAGAGCAACTGGGGGAAGGCTCCAGGGTGTGTCCAGTCCGTCTTGCTCAGTCCCGATTGATCAGCCAAACCCCAGCAGCAAGCTAACCTACTTGTCAGAGCTTCTGCCCCCCGGTGGTCAGTGCATGTCATAGCGAGTGGTTGAGTGGCCTTAGCATATCATTAACATATTATGCTTTGATTGGTTGAATGGCCGACCAGACGATTGGATGATTGGATACTTAGCATATTAGGCTTTTATATATAGGATACCACAAACTGGTGTCTCAAACAGCAGACATCTATTTCTCATAATTCTGAAGAGTGGGGATCTCAAGATCAAGGTGCTAACTAATTTGGTTTTGGGTGAGAGCTTCTTCCTGGCTTGTACACAGCCACCTTCTTTCTGCATCCTCACAGGATGAGAAAGAGTGGAAATAGGAGAGCGATAGAGCAAGAGACAAAGTTCTCTGGTCTCTTCTTAGAAGGGTGCTGATTCCTTCATGAGAACTCCATCTCCCTCATTTAAATCCAATTACCTCCACAGTCCCCGCCTCCTAACATCACATTTCAGATTAGGGCTTCATATGAATTTGAGGATAGACAAACCTGAGGTCCATAGCATTTTTCATCTAACTGTATCTATTTGTCTCCTTTTCTGCCAGATGCAATAGTAGAATAATATTGGTAGAACTAAGTTTTCTCAAATTATAAGTCAATTTTTTTTATCCGAAAGCTATTTGCCTATTAAGATGATATGCTTTCTCATATTTGCTTAAAATAGTATATTATGGCCAGTATACATGTTATACATCAAAATACAAAAATGATCTACTCATAAGTAATAAAATGAAAGGAAATAAAATTGTTTTTAACAGCAAATTTTTAGTGGAATTGGGTGGCAATATTTATCTCATTGCTATAAAAATCTTCTGCTACAGAGCCTTTAAGAATGTGTGCCTGTGTGTCTTAAACTTCCTATTTAGTTCATTCCCCAAATATGCTATGTGCCTTTCTGTATCCAAACTTTTGATGTCTCAATTTAGTATATTTTTCTATAGTCTGTACCTATTGGTATGTAGCTTGTCCTTCAAAGGCAGCTCAAATCCCATCCCTTTTAACAATGTCAGTCCTGATGACCTAGAGAGTTAAAAACATCGATGGGAGAGAAACATCAATCAGCTGCCTCCTGCACACTCCCTACTGGGGATGTGCCCACAACCAAGGTACATGCTCTTGACCGGAATCGAACTTGGGACCCTTGAGTCTGCAGGCCGACGCTCTATCCACCGAGCCAAACCGGTTAGGGCTTCTTTTGAATTTTCATAGCACTCTCTGATTGGATAATAATTTTGGAACTTATGTATTATTTTGCTTTTTAAATATTTTATGTATTGCATGTAAACTTTTTTGAAAAAGACAAACATGTTTACATCTTTTTATGCAACATAAGAGGCACTAAAGTGCCTTATACAAGTAGGCCAAAATCATCAGTTGGAACAAGGCACAGAGGAGTGAGAACTGTATTAGCATTGTGGGAACTGTGACACCTCCCAACTCTCCCTCCCTTCTCTTTGTGTACACCCTGTTTGTGTACACCCTGTTTGTGCACACCCTGTTTGTGTACACCCTGTTTGTGTACAGCACTGAAAATCCAGCACAGTGATGGCCTCCTATTTTGGTCACTCTCTTTGGTGTGGTGCATTTCCTCTTTGGGAAGCTCATAGTCCTTGATTGACCTTGAACATTATTATAGTTTAAAATCAAGTTGCATATATTAGTCCACTAGTGGAACACTCTTAAAATAGGAACATATTTTCTGCCTCTCATAGGTTACATATAATCTGGGACATTTTGTGGATAGTAGTAGTTTGACAGCTGGATGATCATATTTGCAGAAGCACTGTATACCAGTGGGGTGAATATTGGCAACTTGCTAAATCTCATGAGGCAATTTCTTTTGCAAAAGGTGGGATTTTACAAGTGTTAAATGAAGCAGGGATTTTACAAGTGTTGAATGAAGCAAACATGGAAATTACTTGCCTCATACTGGGTGCTCAGAATGAGTCAGCTCCTTTCTCCCAACTAATGGCTATGGGCCAAACAATTAAAATGATTCTTATTTGTCACAGAATCAAACAGCACCCCAAGAAAACCTAACACAGTAACTTTGTGACCTCAAGTTTTGAAAGTTATCATGGACTATATATGCATTTAATTTTCAGTAGAGTTATTTGTTGACAATAGCTGTTTCATAATAAACTTGTAAGATTACCAGTAGTATTTAATCTTTCCAGGTTCTAGTTAAAGGTTAAGCAGGTTCTCTGATAAGAAGATTAAGTGATTAAAATCAGTAGTTTCATAGTGTCCATAGGGGGAAGACTTCAGTTTCTTTTTTCAAGTCACATATTAGAAACATAAGATATATTTGTTTCAAGAACAAATTAGCTGGAAAATTTGACTGTATAAGGATTTTTTTTCTTTTTTAAAAGGAGTTGTGTTATAGATGGATATTAATGACAGATTGTCTTAGTTTATTCTTGGTTAAATTCAAAATTAGAAACGTTTCAGAATAGTTTTAAGGTCAAGGGTGAGATAGAGATTAATGGAAATGTGCTTTCAGGCTGCATCTATTTGGCTTCCTGGAGAGTTTGACATACTACAAAGCTGTTTCTTCAACTGTTATTAGGAATTAGATTTATTTTCTTCTTTAGGCTCATAGCTTCTTGAATTTAGGCTCAAAGATATTTTGCTGTTAGAATAGGTCTTTTGGGGGGAAATACATTCAATTTTTTACTTTTATTTATAGCAAAATGTCAAGTTAGTTACCTGCGGAAGATAAACCTCAAGAATTCTGGGATATCAGATTTGAAATAGATGGAAACATCTGCCAGGAAAAAAAAAAAATTGGTACCAGGCCTAAAAATGCAATGATATATTTAGATTTAGATAGCCACCAGGAAATATTATGGTTCATGCTGTCTGTTATGTATTATTATGTACTAAAGGCCCAGTGCATGAAATTCGTGCACTTGGGGGAGTCCCTCAGCTCGGCCTGTGCCCTCTCGCAGTCTGAGAGCCCTCGGGGGACATCCTTAGCACTGCAGCAGAGGCAGGAGAGGCTCCCACTATCACCACTGTGCTTGCCAGCTGTGAGCACGGCTTCTGGCTGAATGGTGCTCCCCCTGTGGGAGTGTGACCACCAGGGGGCAGCTCCTGTGTTGAGCGTCTGCCCCCTGGTGGTCAGTGCACATCATAGTGACTGGTCATTCGCCGTTGGGCCGAAACTGGCTCTCTGACATCCCCCGAGGGGTCCCGGATTGTGAGAGGGCGCAAGCCAGGCCGAGGGCCCCGACCGGCGCATGATCGGGACTGAGGAGGGATGCGGGAAACTGACCAGCTGGGGAGGGACTGCAGGAGGTCTCCAGGGCATGGCCGGACCCCAGCAGCAAGCTAACCTACTTACCAGAGTGTCTGCCCCCTGGTGGTTAGTGCACATCACAGCAACTGGTCGACTGCCTGTCCCCTGTTGGTCAGTGCACATCATAGCAAGCCTTAGCATATCATTGAGTGGCCTTAGCATATCATTGAGTGGCCTTAACATATCATTAACATATTACGCTTTGATTGGTTGAACGGATGACCAGATAACCAGACACTTAGCATATTAGGCTTTTATTATATAGGATACTTGCTTCACTGACCTATTTAAAACATATTGAGTACTTTACATGTTCAAAGCACTGTTCTTCATTCAGGTGGTTGGGAAAGTAAATATAAAGAAAACCTGAGTCTTACTGGTGTGGCTCACTTGAGCGTCCTCCCATGCACGGAGAGGTTGCCAGTTCCTTTCCTGGTCAGGGCACATACCCGGGTTGTGGGCTCGATCCCCAGTAGGGGACATGCAGGAGGCAGCCAATCAGTGTTTCTCTTCCTCTCCCTCTCCCTTCCTCTCTCTCTGAAATCAGTAAAGAAAACCTGGCCGATGGCCATGGGAAGCTAAATTAGTATTGTGTATTTGTGTGCATGTTTGTGTTGGGGAGTGGGGATGGGGTGAGTTAAATAAGTAAATAGATGACTTGTGTAATAAGGACCATGAGGGAAAGAAAGAAGTCTGAGAAGGAAGGGGCCACATTTAGATGGGAAAATGTCAACTAGAAGGTATCTTTGCATCTGGACCTTAAGGGGAGGTGAGATGCGTGAGTGACACCAGCAGAGGGAAGACTGGGGCCTGCGCACAGAGGCCAGGAAAGAGGGTCAGATTAATTTAACTCCATTGTCGGCTATGTACGTGAATAGGAATAGAACAAGTTAAACCTAAAAGCTAGAATGTGGTATTATTTCACTTTTAGGCACATTTAACATGCGTGTGATTTTAAATTTGTAACTTTAAGTGGAAAGGGTAGGAGTCAAAAGTTTTCAACCCCGCTTTTCTTTAGATTTTCTAAACTAGCCTGGGTTTCCCAACCTCAGCCTTATTGATATCTTGAACTGGATAATTTCTTTTGTGGGGATGTTTAGCTGCATCCCTGGCCGCTAACCAGGATCAGGACTAGAGTGAGGCCAGGGAGGCAGCTAGGGTACAGTATTTTAAGGAGGCACTCATTTTCAGAGTCATGGAAATTTTAATCTTGCATTGGCATTATCCCAAGGGTGAGCGAATGCCTTCTTAAATTACGAGCCCTAAGCCCTACCTTGATTAACCAGAGTCTAGGCACAGCCTATATTCACCAAAAGTTAGTAGCATCTTCCCAATTGTGACAACAAATGTATCTCTAAACAAATCCAAGTATCCCCTGAGGAACAACCTCCCTTCCCGCCCAATGCCCCTGTAAGAACCACTACAGTGTAACTAGAATAACTCAGCATATTTATTTCTGAGGAGTAGCCCTCACTGTAACGTTTCTTTTTTACCCAGGTAGCCACTAAATATAGGTATACTTTGGGACCTATTTTGCACTCACTCAAGGTAATAACTAAATACAACTATATTTTAGGCAACGTGTGAGCGGCTGAGACATACTTGGGGAGTAAGAGTTTGAAGAGAGATCTGTGGAAAGAAACTGTTGTGATTAATGGGCTGATGGGCATTGGAAAGAGACAAGGGTTTGTATGAGAGTTCCCTAAAGGTGAGGAATCCATTCTGCTGGCAATAATATACCTGACTTCTAGGTCTTGCTTGGTGGCATTGAAGAATAATAATTCTGCTGTCAATCTTGGGGTGGATATGACAAGATTTCAAAATGCATTTTCTTGGTCCTTGTATAAATGCTAAAAAACACTACAATGGTCTTGCACTTGATTTGCCTTTTACAAAATTAGACAGTCTTCTTGGTTAATACTTCATTGTACTATTCATATTTGCTGTTATCAGTTCTACCCCTACCCTACTCTAGTCTATTTTCTTGGGCTTTGGGGAAGCCGTGGCACTGGGGAACTACAATTTGTACAGTGTGACTGCCACGAAGACTACAGATACATCAGACCTTAGTGGAATACTGATGATATCAGTTAGTAGGAGATGAGAAAGCTACATCATCATATTGTAGATGTCCATTCTCATGGTAAGAGTTAAATAAGAATGATATGGTTACTTAATATTTAGCAATAGAGTTTAATCTCTAAAATTACAGGTGTCTCATA